AGATTTCCCTAATTTTAAAACAATGCCTTTCTGCAGCCTTTGGTTGCTATATTTTTACTGTAACAGATTCTTTCCTTTTTTTCTTTTTTAAAAAATTATTTGATAAACTTGATAATTTATCCTATAGAGTATTACACATTTTGCATTTAGTTCACACATTCCCTAATATTCTTTTTTTTTTTTGAGACGGAGTTTCGCTCATTACCCAGGCTGGAGTGCAATGGCACGATCTCGGCTCACCGCAACCTCCGCCTCCTGGGTTCAGGCAATTCTCCTGCCTCAGCCTCCCAAGTAGCTGGGATTACAGGTGCGCGCCACCATGCCCAGCTAATTTTTTGTATTTTGAGTAGAGACGGGGTTTCACCATGTTGACCAGGATGGTCTCGATCTCTTGACCTCGTGATCCACCCGCCTCGGCCTCCCAAAGTGCTGGGATTACAGGCTTGAGCCACCACGCCCGGCCCCCCTAATATTCTTTATTAACTGATATTCAGATTAAGAGTTTCTATTAGATGCAAGTTCAAGTTTTTAGGCAGCACTAGCTCAGGGTGGTGGGTTCTAACACATCACATCATAATTAGTATATTCACATATTGCTAGTCTGATCCATGCATAACCCAGTTCCACACCAGTTTTTCACCTAATAGTTTTAGTATCTTTTGATGATAATTCACTGGATTCAGTTTTTTCTTTCAGATTGCAAAATGGTGATTTTTCTCATTCTATAATTTTATTTTCTATTTTTTAGCTAGGTTTCTATAGAAAAATCTTTCTCTCATCAACTATTTAGTTACTCTGAATAATAATTGTTGCAGAAAAGGAATAACAAATGCCTCTCTCTTTTCCTATATCTGTCATTTTTTAGAGCAACGAGTTGGTATCTCAGCAATCATCAATTGTAATAAATACTTTTTATAAAAAAAAAGCTTTTCTAGGCCAGTCACAGTGGCTCAGACCTATAATCCCAGCATGTTGGGAGGCCCAGGTGGGTGGATCACCTGAGTTCAGGAGTTTGATACCAGCATGGCCAACCTGATGAAACCTAGTCTCTACTAAAAAACACAAAAATTAGCTGGGGGTGGGGGCGGGGTGGTGGGCACCTACAATCCCAACTCAAGAGGCTGAGGCAAGAGAATGATTTGAACTCAGGAGGTGACAGTTACAGTGAGCCAAGATTGCACCACTGCACTCCAGCCTGGGTGACAAGAGTGAAACTCTGTCTCAAAAATAAATGAATAAATAAATAAGCTTTTATAGAAACATATTAAATCTGAAGAGAAGTTGAAAAAATAGCATAATGAATACTTATATGCTATTCACATTCTAGGTACACCAGTTGGTAGCACTGTCACATTTGTACAGGCTCCTTCATTGGCCTTTGAGCACCTCCATGTTTTCTGGCACCACAAGATATTCCAAACTCAGCTTGTACTGTACATGTCTTGGAAGATTCAAGCATTTCTCCAAGCTGCCTTTCATTTTTTTACAGGGATTTTTAAACCCAAATTAGTGTGTGTGTATTTGTGTGTATAGACATATATTCATGTATATGTATGTCCACAAATAAGCATATATTGAATATACGTTTATACTAATATCACCAATTCAAATCCACATAGCACTTACTCTCACCTTTCCTATTCCACGTATGTTTCTCCCTTCTCCCTTTCTAACAAACTCAATATATTTACTCATTTGTTCTCTCCTTCACCACACATGAAGGAGTTTCAAAATTAGTATATCAATAATATTAGTAAAAACAAAACTTATCTTTATAAGCTGATACTCATTCTTTTTTTCTAATGGCTACATAGTTCCCCATTTCATAAACATATCTTGATTTGTTCGATCAGTATCCTATGGATGGTGATTTTGATTGTTCCTCATTTTTCACAATGAATGATCAATATCTGCAAAGAATAACCTTGTGCATATGTAGTTTTGAATGCTTGGATGTGTATCTTTACGGTGAATTTCTAGAATTGCGGCTACTGAGTAGTTTTGGCAGAGTGTCAAATTCCCCTCCCTGAGCAGTTACTACATTTTGTATGGTCATCTGCACTGTTTGGAAGGCTCTGTGTACTGACAGGCTTGTCAACAGAAGTTATTGTTAGGTTTTTGAATTAGAAATACTATCTCATTGTAGTTTTATTTATATAGGCTTATATAGTTTTATTTGTATATCTAAATGCATTTATTAAGGCATAATTTAGTTTATCTATCACAAAGTACAGAAGTCTTAAGTGTTAATTTTGTTGTCTTTTGATAAATGTATGGTCTTGCCCAGGTTATCCACACCCCAATCAAGATATAGAACATTTCCATCATTCCAGAAAACTCTTTTATTCTCATTTCTACTCAGTTCCACACTTCCTTCTCCCAGAGGCAACCATTAAACTATTCTATTACCACTGCTTAGTCTGTCTTGTTCTTAAATTTTATATGCATATAATAATGTAGTATGTCCTATTTTGTATGTGGCTTCTTTTCTGCAACTTGTTATTTGTGAGATTTATCCCTGTTGTTGCATGTCTTATTGCAGTACAGTAGTCTATTGCATGAATATACAATTTTTTTTACCCATTCTTCTATTGATGAACATTTTGGTTGTTTCTAATTTTTTTCGCTGTCATGAAGGCCACTGAGAACATTCTTGGTTCAATCAATTAATCATTTAATTTTATTGATGTAACTTGATTTATTCAGCAAGTATCTTACAGATGGCGATCTGGCATGTTTACATATTTCTGTTAGTATATATGTATATATATGATAGGTGTATATTTAACTGTATAGGAAATTGCCAGTTGTCCTAAGCAGGTGTCCAATTTTATACCATCACCAGGAGTATATAAGACTTCCAGTTATTCCACATTTTTAACATCATTTAGTCTGCTGCCTTATGCAGATTTAATATGAGTATATAATGCATTAATTATATTTTACTGACACTTTATAATGAAGAATAGGTCTTGATTTTTGTCAAAGGTCTATGCAATATGGGTGAAGTTAATAAAAAGTTTCTGTTTAGTTCTCTTAATATGGTAGATTACATTAATGGATCTTCTAATATTGAAACACCCCTGACAATTTTAGAATATGTTACATTTGGTCATAGTGGATCATTAAAAATTTTAATATGCTATTAAATTATAGTTTCTGGATTTAAGAATCTATATTCATAAGTGAAATTAATCCATTTATTTATCTTTATCAAGTTTAGGTATCAATGTTATACTCAGTTTATAAAAAGAGAATGTTTTTTGTTCTGACCTATGAAACAGTTTATACAGCATAATTACCCATTCTTTAAAAGTTTAGTAGAGGTTACATAGCAAACCATCTGGACCTGGCACCTCTTTATGAGGTAACTCTTTTCTCCATTTCTTCTATGTAAATTGGTTTATTTAAGCTTATACTCTCCACTGGTATACATTTTTTAAAGTTACATTTTGTAAAAACTTTTACCAATTTCTTCTAGATTTTCAAATACATTTGTTCAGCATTTCCAATAGTCTACTTGTTTTGATTTTTTTCTGTTTCAATGGTTGTTTCCCAGTTCATTTTAAGTATTGTTGGGTCATTTTTTTTTCCTTGCTTAGGCTGGCTAGTAATTCTCTCTTTTGTTGTTTCTTTTCAGAGAATAATTTTTATTTATTAGTGCTGTTGTTTTTATTTTGTTTTCTACCCTTTTTTACTTTTATTATTTCCTTCTGAGAGTTTAAAAAATCATAAATGGGTTTTGAATTTCAACAAATGTGTTTGCTTCACTTATTAAGACAATCATATACTTTTATTCTTTTTATTTCTGTCAATTGCATCAATTGTTTTGCAAATCACAAATCAGCTCAGAATTTCTGGAATGCACCTCGTTTATCTTTACTGTATTATTTTTATATATTACTGGATTTGATTCTTTGATGTTTATATAGGATTTTTCATCTATGTTCATGAGTTAGATGGGTCTGTTGTTTTCCTTTCTTGTAAAATCTGTCAGATTTTTATATTACAGTTATCCTGGTTTTATAAGCTGAGAAGTATTCCCTTTCTTTCTTGGTATATTTTCTTCCTAAGATGTTTAGAAGAATTCACCTGGAAAACCATCTGGGCTGGAGGTTTTTTTGCAGAGAGATGTTTAAAATAACAGATCCAGTTTCCATAATAGATAAAGGGCTATTAAAATTTTTCTATTTTTTCATCTGTTTTAGTAACATTTTTAAAATTATTTTTTTATTTCATCTAACTGTCAAATTTATCAGGCATATAACTGGTATGTAATATATTTTTATTACCCTTTTATTGTCCATAAGATTTTTAGAGATATCACCTTAATTATTGATATTAATATTTTTCTTATTTTTTTTACTAGTCTTGCTAGGAATTTATTAATTTTTTTTATTCAAAGAACTAACTTACAGTTTTTAAAAAATTTTTATGATAGATTTTCCCTACATTATTTTTTCCTCCTCTTTATTTCCTTTCATTTGCTGTCTGAGATTAGTTGTCCCTTTTTTCCCAAACTTTTGGCGTAGAAGTTTTGCTATTGATTTTTCAATTTTTTTCTCTCTTATCATTGCATGTATAGCAATACTTTTCCTCTAAAAACTATATTAGTTAGATTTCAAGTTTGAATTTTATTGCATCTGCATTATTATAGAGTACAAAAGTATTTTTTTTAATTTTCTTTATGATTTCTTGTTTGACCCGTGAGTTATTTAGAAGTTATTGTCTAATTTTAAGCAGTTGTGAATTTTAAGATATCTTTTGTTATTGATTTCTAGGTTAATCCCATGGTGGTTAGAGAGCATAGTATGAATTATTTCAATCTTTGAAATTTGTTGAAATTTTAAAATCCAGCATAAACTCAATCTTGGTAAATATTATTTGTGCACATTGAAAAAAATGTTCATTTTGTTGTTATTGGGTATGATTTTGTAAATATTGTTTATCTTGTTGATTGTGTTTATTGAATCTTACAGACTTTTCTGTTTTCTTCACAGATATTAAACAAATTGTTTAAGTCGTCCACTATGATCACAGATTTGTGAACTTTAAAAAAAATGCAGCCATTTTAAACCTCATCTACTTTTAAAGCTATGTTATTTGTTGCACAAATATTTAGAATGATTATATATTACTGGTGAATTTATTCTTCTATCATTTTGAAATGTTCTTCTTTATCTGTAGAATGCTAATTTTTAATAAGTCTACGTTCTGATATTAATATAGCCACATAAGCTTTCTTGTGTTAGTATTTGCATGTTATAAATTCTAGAATCTTTTTATTTTAATCAATCTTAATTTTAATGAAGACATACAAGAATTTTTATGTCTTTATATACATACTTCTTGTAATTGTTGATTGAATGTTTCTACTCAGTTGGATGACCTGAGTCTTCAGTTTGAATATTTAATACACTTATCTTTAGTTTACAACAAAATGTGTTTAGTTTTATTATATTTTGGATTATACCTGCCATTTTACTCTGATTTCTGTTTGAACTAGAGTTGATCCTCATTATTTACAGATTTCATATTTGCAAACTCACTAAAATTTATTTGTAACCTCAAATCAATACTCAGAGCACTTTCATGGTTACTCACAGACATGTAGAGTGGTGAAAAACTTAAGTCCCCCAATGCACACAATTCCAGCTGAGAGAGAAAAAAGGTGTCACTTTGCCTTGTTGTTTCAGCTCTCATATGATAAATAAGTGTCCTTTAAGCAGTCAGTTCAGTACTACTTTTTCACATTTTCGTACTTTGGTGATTTCTGTTTAAAAATGGCGCCTGGCTGGTTGCGGTGGCTTTTGCCTGTAATATCAGCACTTTGGAAGGATGAGGCAGGCAGATCACTTGAACCCAGAGTTAAAGACCAGCCAGGGCAACATAAGGAAATGCAAAAGTTATCTGGCTAAGGTGGTGCACACCTGTAGTCCCAGTTACTTGAGAGGCTAAGGTGGGAGGATCACTTGGGGCCAGGAAGTTAAGGCTGCAGCGAGCCATGATTACGCCACTGCACTCCAGCCAGGTCTTGCCTGGGTAACAGAGCAAGACCCTGTCTCAAGAAAAAAAATAAAAAGGCTCCCAAGTGTAGTGCTGAAGTTGCTATCTAGTGTCCGAAGTGCAAGAAGCAGCTAAATTTGTGGCTTCATGAGATGACTACTGATTTCTAAAAGCATAGTGGATAGCACTGTTTTGAGGTTGAAAGCTAAAGAACGGCATACGTTACCCAAGGTCAAGCAAATGTTAAACCCTTTGCAGCTAGTACTGGCTTCTGTATTTTAAAAGGTGATACAGCATGAAAAGTGTTAAATTTGCAGATAAATGAGGCAGCTTCTGCAGATTAGGAGACTGCAGAAGAATTTTTAAAATACCTGTTAATGCAAAATTTAAAAAATTCTGCATTATGTAGGGAAAAGGTTATGTGGAAGAGCAGATTTTCTTTTTATTTAGTGAAAAATCTCTAATTCTTTATTTGAAACAATGTAATAAAAAATTAAAAACACTCAGGTGACTCTAGAACATAAAAGCAAAAAAACTTGCAAAATTTGCAATAAAGTAAAAGGAAAACAAACCAGCAAATACTGTATACTCAGTCTCAGCAGAAAGGGAATAATTGCAATGTAAAATGCTTGAGTATTCCTAATTTCACCTATCAAATCATATTTTTTTCATGTGATTATGACAAATAATCCAGGGATGTTGACCAACAGCCTGCAATGAACAGGTCACCCCACAGCACAGAAACTATGTAGCAAAAATGTTAACACTGGGGAGTTTGAAGAGCTGTTCTGTCCAGAATATGTCCAATCTTAATGCATATGTGATTCAACTGGGGGATCTCATTCAAATGTAGATTCTGATATGGGACTTTTAGGATGGGTCCAGACATTCTGTATTTTGTAACTGTGTCCCTGTGGATGTTGATGCTACTTGTCCTGTTGTGTGGTCCACTCTTTGAAGATCAAGGCTGTGGTCTCGTATTAGAGTCACATAGAAATATTTTGAGGACTTCTCCAGCAAGAATCCTATCACATTTCATATTCAAATATATGTTTTGAACATTTTTAAATGCCTACCTCCTCATTTTCTATTAACAAAAGATTATATGTTTATTCCACCTGATTCCTTTACTCTTTCATGTTCATTATTTAATCTTAGTCTACAATTAAGGATATAAAATGTCATACCATACAAGTATTATGCTGAATGTTCTTCAATAATTCTTTTTTTTTTTTTTTAACAGAGTTTCTTTCTTGTCACCGAGACTGGAGTGCAATATGGCAATCTCAGCTCACTGCAACCTCTGCCTCCCAGGTTCAAGCGATTCTCCTGCCTCAGCCTCCTGAGTAGCTGGGATTACTGACGCCCAGCACCACATGCAGCTAATTTTTGTATTGTTAGTAGAGACGGGGTTTCATCATGTTGGCCAGGCTGGTCTCAAACTCCTGACCTCAAATGATTCATTTGTCTCGGCCTCCTAAAGTGCTGGGAGGGATTACAGGCATGAATCTCTGGACCTGGTCTCTTTTTTGTTGAATGCTTTACTTATATTCCATTCTGAGGGAGTCCAAGGTTCTGGAAACCCGCTTGAACTTGAATCAGGCTAACACATCCCCATACTACAAACATGACACTCAATGAAATTAGCCCTGGGTATTTCAACTCTGACTATGGAAACATGCCTTTTAATTTTAATTGTCTATACCATATTCATTATTTCCCTTATTCTTACAATAGGATCCTAAATTTTCTATGGGATCCAATATATCCAGCTGAGAGACATTTCCCAGCCTCCTTTGTAGCTAGGATGGGTCATCGGACACATTTTTGGCCAACAAGACATAATTGAAAATCTACTCGGTATTTTTGGGGAATGTTTTACTTTCTCTAAATTGGTACATCCCCTTGCAGATTGTTAGTTCTCCTTTCCTACATGTCTTCTTCTTGTTTTTGCCTTTATCTTCTTCCTCTTTCTCCGTCTTCTCCTTCTTTTCCTTTTGTGTCTTCCCTGGAAAGCAGAGCTAGAGATGGAGCAGCCACATTTCAATCTGGAGTTACCACTGGAGGAAAGCCATGTTAGTGATGGCAGAGTAGAAAGAAAAAGACTAGGAGCTATCCCTGACATGTTTACCTTTGGTCTTCTTGCCTCTGGGCTTCTGATTTTGTGAAACATATTACCCTTTTATTAGTTTAGTCTCTGTTGTGGGGTTTATATTACACACAAACACAACACCTAACTGATATAGTCTACTTAATTTCTACACTTGAATAAATCCTCACTCACTTCCTTAGCTTCCTTTCTCAACGACATCTCTTCGTTTGCATCTTGAACTTCAGGACAGATTTATCTAGTTCTGTTTTTGACCCTTGGTACTCTTTTGAGCTTGATTCACATTCACTGTCTTATGCTTCTCCCTTCCATTTACCTCTGCTATGTGCCAATTTTCTTAGTGGACTACTTTCTCTCCTTTGTATGAGCGCACCCTGGATTTCTGAGTGCTGGTGCATCACTGTGTATGTTCTGAGGTGTTCTCAAGGTTTTGACTTTGGTTTCCTGAAAACACACACACACCCCGCCCCTGCCACATGCATGCCTGCATGAACACGAAGGTATATATTCAGTTTCCAGATCAAATTTTAGTTATAAATAGGACATTTTAGGCCACCTGTGGATAATTGGTGTAGGGGTGGTAAAGACAACACTTTGCACAAACAAAACATACTGAACATCTGAAAGTTACCTTGAACTCCTTCAGTGAGAACTGTGAAAAGTATTGTACTTTTATCTTACCAGTTGAATACTTTAACAATCAACATAGCCATCTTCTCCTTAAAAAAGTAAGAAAATGAACAAACAAAAACCCTCCCATGAGAATATATTTGTGTAGCCTGTGAGCCTCCCTCATTGAGATGTTTTGGAGGAAGATATGATGGTTTTGGTTTTGGAGAAGCTGACAGACATAATTTTGATACTTATATTGGTCACTTCTGCCCTGAGCTGCCCCGTGGCAACCATTTTAGGATGAATACTTCAGGCTGCTATTTTTACTGAAATCTCATTATAAGGCAAAAATACAGTTATAGTCAAAGACTTCTTTAAGGAATGATGATGATTGGACAATTTTAACTTTATATTTTCACATGAGGAACTTAGTTCCAGAAAGCATATTTGACCTGCTCAAAATCCTACAGCTAGCAGTAGCCTTAGTTAGACAACTGTGGTCTTAAGATAGCTATCCATTTCAGGAAAAGCTCATCACTAGGTAAACGAGTGAGGGTGATTATTACAGGTATTAGTTCAAATTCACTACTGCTGATCAAAGTATATAAGTAATTTGCAAATGTGGGAGCACTATAGAGATAGAGAAAGAGAGTTGGCAGTGCTGAATACAGCAAAGAAATGTCTCAGGCTTGTCAATCACCATCAGACTGTCCCAAGATACTGGCATTGCAGGATAAAGATAACAGTAAAAGGCATGATGGGAAATCTCAAATGCCTGTAGGTTCGGTGTGCAAGTAAAGTGGGCCAGAGGTAAGTTCCTTGATGTCTGCCTGCATTATGTAGGTGGGGTGTGTGCGCATGCATGGGTGTGTGCTGGAGCATTACATGAGCCGGGAACACCCGATCCTTTAGTAAGAGGCAGGTGCTACTTAGCTATAGGATAGACTTGCCTTTTGGGTCTAATATTGACTGATGACCTACTTTTTCAAGAGATGCTAAAAATCAATAGTTTTATATGAAAGACCCTGGTTTTTCAATGTTGGCTCAAAATGTTAAAAGTTCAGTGCAGCCATTTGAAGCATGAAGTCATGTCTGTGCACAAGATTTGACTTACAGGCTTCAGCTTAGCAAGCAGGGGTGCATGGAAGGAGTGAGGCATGAAAAAGGGGGGAATAAAGAGAAAACAGACAATGATAAAGAAGCTTGAAAATTTTATTTGATTGTGTCTTGCTTAGATACACTGAAAGCTGGTCATTTTTAAGACAAAGGTTTCAAGAAGAAAGTTATCTTTCCAGTTTCACCAATTTGGCTGTCAGTTATTCGCTTCTCCTATTATTATAATTCAGATATGTCATGATTGGAATAATTTACATTTACAAATCATATCATAGAAAAATAATTTCATTGCTAAAGGTAAACAGGTTGGGGTACTTTATCCAAAATAAGAAGAAAACAGAATCTAGCACTTTTATATTTTAAAGCTGATATTTTAGCAATATTTTGACAAAAGCTTATTTCATTTATA